CCCCCCCAAACAGTGCCTTTTGAGCAGCCTTTGGGGGCAAATGACGGTTGCAGAGTCACAAAAGTCCAAAACTTCTCACTCCACAAATACTCTGAAGCTTGCTGTCCAAAACGAGCCCCCTAATGCCTTAAACGAGCGCCTGTGCTCCAAACGACAAGCTTTCGCGTGCGGGCGTGCTAAACAGCCCCCGAGCAGCACGCGTTTGCAAATGGCGTGCGCAAACTGTACCAAAGTGGCGCTTCCTTTTGTCTTTTGCGCTTCTCCAAAGTAACACCTGCAAAACGAGGTACCTATCTTTCAAAACGAGCGCGTGCGTGCAAAACGACGGACTTTTGCGCGCTTTGCCCGGACAAGCAGATCCCAAGCAGCACGCGTTTGCAAGTGGCGGGCACGGTGTATCTCAAAGCAACTCTCTTTTCTCTCTCTTGGGGTCCCTCAACTCGACACCTGCAAAACGAGGTACCTCTCTTTCAAAACGAGCGCGTGCATGCAAAACGACACCATTCCGCACGACACACCGTGAGGGTTACTCATTGCAAAAAATGCGCATCTGACTCGCATGGCAGAGTGCCTGGCCAGCTCCTGAGCGTTGCAAATGGCGCGCTCTCACTATTTTGGCCTGGTTGGCGGAGAGATTTTGCAGTTTGTGAAGCCCTGTGCGATGCTTCTGTCAGCATCAGTGATGTTGGTCTGTTCTTGCTTGCTCGAGTCTTGAGTCAAGTGTGTGATGAGGAGGTGCTCTAAAGTGCGGACGCGTAGGGCAAGCCTGCGTGCGCGCGTGTGCTTGCCTGCATGTGACTCCAGGCCTCTCGCACGGTAGAACACGAGCGCGAGTGCTCACTCCAGGCCTCTCGCACGGTAGAACGCAAGCGCGAGTGCTTGCCTGGGCAAGCACGCACACACGAGTGCTTGCGCGCCACGTGTCAGCTTCCACGCCGGCAACTTTTGTTGTAGGGACTCACTCACAACGTGCAATGGTGACTTTTAAATGTCCGACCAGAATCTTGAATCACGACTCGACCACCCCGGATGTATGCTATCAAGCTTGCACTCACAAGTCCCCTTGACCACGCAACACCAACCATTTGTCATTTGCAAGCGCTCCTGCTCTGACCAACGTAGCCAAGTAGCATCTTTGCCAGTATCGTGCGGCGGGCACAATGTCACTCAAGATGGATGCGTCTGGCGCAATGTCACTCGACATGGATGCGACCTCTGCAAAGACAATTCCCGAGCGCTATTACGTGGTTCAAAGGAGAGATGGTTGCATTGTGAAAAGCTCAAGAGCGCTAGTGGCAGGAGACTTGTGTTGTACAACAGTGAGATGCATGCTGCCCACAGCACCTGCGCACAGCCCCAGACTCACACCTTTCCGAGGTGCTCTGTGCAGGCGAGAGGAACAAATAGGGTGAAGAAGGTGGAGAGGGTTCGAGATCGAGAAGCATATGTGGTCAAGACTCGTGGTGGACAAGACAAGGTGTACTATGCCGGGGAAGAGGTGGCATTTGCACGCCAAGAGCTGCTGCCAATGCACCGTTCAGTGCTGTCAGATAGGACTGCTATAGGCAAGGAGTACCAGGTCAGCTTGTATGCATCAGCAGTGCCACCAATATGCAGGCTCTGACATTCTTGCTCTGTATATTTCAGCGTCAGCTGGAGCAACAGCGTCTTGTTGAAGCGCAGCGACAGGCACAAGGACATCAGCATACGGGCGCAGGTCGGCAGCAGCGGGAGCAGACGGGCGCAGATCAGCAGCAGCAGTTGGAGCACCTCTTCGATCTACAAAACCTTCGACTGGCAACCTCGTCGCCTTCAGGAAAGCTCGGCAATGTCCCAACCTTTACAGATGAGCCTACTGCCAGCATACAGTCCCGCTCAGCATCTAGGCGTAGCTCGAGCATGGGACAGCAAAAGCCACAAATGCAAGACGAGTCGATCGCCAGCGATCCTCCTTCTCCCACCGTTTGGCCTGCCGTGCCGCAACTCGCCTCTGCTGCGTCTTTGCTGCCAGATCGCACACGCATTGCTGCAGCTGAGCCCATCTCATTGGCGCCCAACTCACCGGATGCCATGGCTTTGATGACGCTGTTTGTTTTGCTTCGACAGTACTATGCTGCTCGTGCAGAGAACATGCAGGTGGATTCTGCACGTACGACGGAGAAGGAGGCGGAGACGGAGACGGCAACAGAAATGGCGACGACTGCACCACAAACTTCAACAGGGCGGGCTCCGCAGCCTTTGGCTTTGCCGCGCACTCCAGCTCCGCGCAGAAGCTTCCAGCAAAGCGGTCTGCAGCAAGAAAGTCCTTTTGACTTGGCATCTGGCAGCAGCATTCATTCGCCAACACCGTCCCTTCATTGCGGGACAAAAAAGTCGAGGATGGGCCTGGGCTCCGCAGCTGAGGTCTATCGAAATCCGGCAGTCGTCTTTCGCAGCTCCTCTCTTGCATTTGCCACATCCAAACCTGACTCTGCCCACCGCCTACGAGCGCGGTCTGCTGCATCCTCATTGGCATCAGCATCTCTGACTCACCTTGCCTTTCCTCTCCAAGACATGGCTAGAGCTGAGCAGTGGGCCAAGGAACATGGGCCCTCTGGATTTAGAGGCCACAAGCCCTTTCTTGTCTTGTGCACTTCTGATCACGTCGCGCACTGGGCAGCTGTCTGGTTTGCTGCATTCTGAGGAGGAATGGGTGTCACAGCTATCCGCAACATGATGGGATTATCTGGCGTTCAAAGCCGCGGAGGCAAGTTCAGCTGGTTGGCCTCCATGGGCTTGTATCAAGAAATGCTGGCACTCAAAGACCAGGCCAAGGGTACGGGCCTTGCACCCCAATTTTCAAACCTTGCCTTTCTCAACGGACCTGCCCATCCCAAGCTTCACACGCACTGGCCAGTGCTGCAGGATGTGACGGTGCGGCACACACCTACTTTCAAGGCGTTTGATGTGCTGGCCAAAGGTGACTTTCCTGCGCTTGTATTTACACCAGAGGAACAAAGTGGTGGTTCTGCGCGCTCCATCTCCATCGCCACCATAACGCTTCCACCCGCTGTGCCAGAAGTGCTCCACTTGCCAGTCGAAGAGGCCCACGCATGCGCGCACATGGTCAGGAGTCTTGGATGGATTGCGATTGCAAAGCATCACAGGGCTTTTGTGCGCCCAAAAGGAGGAGAGTGGGTTCAAACATCGTCTCCCAGTACAAAGGTGCTCCTGCAGCGTCTCGGCATCAGCGGGACACTCTACAATCCATTTGGTGATGGGCACTGCGGCTTTCGTGCCGTTGCTCGAGCCATTACTGGTAGTGAGGACGATCAACAATTCATCCGCAACCGATGTCACCAAATTGTGCTGGAGCATCCACAAGTGTGGAAGTTTATCTGCCCAGAATTGCTCGAGATGAGCTCCATAGCCACTCAAGAGCTCTTGTGGACAGACAAAAGGCCAGCTGAATGGAAATCCGGCTGGTTCAAGCGTCATTTGCATGCGGCTCTTGTGGCATCTGCTTTCGAGTCAATTGTGGTCACCATTGGCCCACCTGATCCACTGGGCCTTCCTCGCATGCCAGAAGCAGATGACAATTTTTTGATCCTCAAAGTAGAAGGCCCGCAACTAGGGTCTAGCTACGTTCCCTTGGCCAATGCCGTCATCACATGGCCGATAGTGATTGGCTCTGCCATCTCGCGTCAGATCATCTGTCTGATTCTTCAAGGCGATCACTTTTACCTTGCTGAGGCGCCATCAGACATTGTCTTCAGCTCAGAGCTCAGGAACAACCAGGTGCTTGAAGCTGCTCGCATGCGTCTCCATGAGCTTGCACGTACTGATCAGAACGTCATGAGGGCTCAAGTTGCGCAAGATGTGTTTATGGAGTCGGGCAATTACAAGGTCTGACTGCGCGTGCTTCTACACACACGCCTGCATCATGTTGCCTCTACCAATCACCGCAATTCCAGCACGGACGCGGCGCAAAGAAGCTGTTCAAATCGAGAATGCAAATGGATGCTGATCATGGTCTGAGCTCAAGTCACAAGTCAGTTTGTGATGTTTGATGGATCCTAGGCGCGCGCGCGCGGGCTTCGGCTCTCGCACCCTACACCTGCTGCCCGTGCTTTTGGCTTCTCACGCGGGTGCTGTTCTGCTGCAACCCGAGTGCGCGCGCGCGCCAGCACTTGATCACGATTCACACCACAATCGTGCCCCTATCGCCCGTGTGCGCACTGGGTTGCCACGAATCAGGGATCTGAATCAAATCGAATGAGGTTTATTCACAGTTGTGCGCAACAACCACTCGCGACTTTACGGCGACGGCCACACCCCTCACCCACTTGGCACACATTTCCCCCCTCCTCTCTCCCTCTCTCTCCCTCTCTCTTTGCGCGCGCCACAGCGACATTGTCACTTGCCACCACTGCATGCTACCACAATGTAGCGCACCCAGCAATCGCTCTGTGCACGCACGCCCATTGTCACTCTGTGCTGGACACTGAACGCATGCATCGTCAGCACTCTGTGCTAAGGATGGAATGCAGGACACGCTTGTCATCCCTCTGCTCACCAGCGCTGTGTGCCCACCATCCTGCATTTGCCTCTTGCACACACGCTCCTCAACACTCGCCGTGCCCTCTCCATCGCACACTTGCACGCACGTCATCCCTTCTGTACTAAACATCGGACACTTGCACATTTGCATGCACGCTCGTCAACACTCACAACTACGCTCACCATCGCGCACACGCTCGACATTGCACGCACACAGTCTGGTCCGACACTGCTCTGCCCGCCATCGCGCACACGCACGCACATTTGTCAACACTCTGGTCACCATCGCGCACTCGCCTCGTCATTGCCATTGCACGCACCCACGCAGTCTGCTTGATACTCTGTGCTCACCATCGCACGCACGTCTTTTGGGGGATGTTAGGGGCAGGTGCCTTTGCGCAAATGTGAGTTGCGGGGGGCAATCTGAGCGAGGGGGGTTGCATTGATGGGTACTGCTCGGCGTCGGCCACTGCCGCACAATCAGTCGACGCTCGCCTTGTTGCCACCCCCAAACCAACGCACTCGACCACACATCCAGGCATTGTTCCTGAGACGAGCTGTCCGTTTGCTGCATTGGCGCACCGACACTTTCAATCTACAGAGCCAGCACCGTCTCGCGCGCTTCGCTGCACCGACCCATGAACAGCTCGCTGAGGTCGCTTTCTCGCTTGGAAAGGTCGCACTCTCGTGTAAGTTTTGGGAGTGTGGCAACTAGATGATATCTGTTGGCGTGAGCAGCGTGAAAGAGTGATGGTGCGTGAAGTTGTCGTCTGCTGTGAAGGCAGCCATCGCCTTGCTGTCATCTTCATCGTCATCGCCTTGCCGTCATCGGCACCGCCTCGTCTCTGCCGCGTCCAGTCTAGCGGTCGTCCACACCATTCACGTGAAATCTTGCTTGGGATGCGCAAGTCAAGCCTTACATGTAGTGTGCGCGCGTCGAATCTTATAGTCAGAATGCGCAAGTCGAACGTCCAGTGCCAGATGCGTGAGATCAAGTGCGCGAGTCGAACCTCAAGTGTAGACACTCAAAACTTGGAGTGCGCGAGTCAAACCTTATATCTGAGATGCGACACTCGTCCCGCGCTATAGCGCTTCACAACAACAAGGTGGGCATTGAAGTCAAAGAGGTGGAGAGTGCATTCATACCGCCGGCTTGTATCGAGGAGGTTGCTGCTCTAGGTGGTCATCAATACAAGCATCTGCCGTGGAAAAGCGCAATACGGGGTGATAAGAAGGTTTGGGGTTTGAGAGCCGCACAATGTCCACCACTTCTCGAGCCGGTGCGTCTATTGCCCTGACCAGGCAGAGATTTCGAGCCACTACATCAGAGCGCTGGTTGCCACCCTCCAGCACTCTGATGTAGTCGTCGCAAAGAATGCGCGGACCCTCCAGGACATGCTTGGGTATCTCTTCTTGCGACAGCCACCTCTCGCGCTCTTGCTTCAAACGGCTGTGAAGGTCTGCATCCTCGGCATAACTGATCGGCTTGAAGAGCAGCATTGAGAGTTGGCGATCTCGAGCGCTTGGTTGTTGCTGCATGGCCGCCCTAACTTCTGCAAAGGTAGCAGCACGAAGCGTCGCCAGCTCGGACGGCTCTACTGGTTGCTCTGTCAAGCTCTCCAGCACGTCCTCTACTTCCAGCTCCTCCGCCTGCGCTTCCTCTTGCTCCGCCTGCGCTTCCTCTTGCTGTGACACTAGCATCTGCTCCGAGGACAGCAGTGATGATGATGCCTGAGTCATCTGCCGCACCTGCGCTTCGAGCTGCACAACTTGCGCCTCTCGTGCGGCGGCTTGTCTCTTGCGGAATCTCTTGAGCTCATGGCGGGTAAGCTTTGCTCCCAGAGCAGTGGCTTTCTGGTGGCGCTTGGTTGACAAGCGGTTGTCGCTGTCAGAGCGATCGTTGAACCACCAATTTGAGACCGTGTCGTCCCGAGCAATGGTGTGAGCCTTGTCCCACAGGTGCAGCACCAGTTCAGACGACTGGGACAGCAGTTCCAGTTGTGCGTAAAGTGTGAAAATCTGCTGGTTCCTCTTGCTGGAACCATCCAGCAGCACAATAGCCACAACGTGAAAGATGGAGACCGAGCAGATAAACTCGTACTGGTCATCCACCTCATCACGTGTCTGGGCAGCACCGAGGGGGACAAAGGGATGCTTTGGCGCCCGTTGGATGCCATCTTGAATGCATCCATACAGAGCCAGCATCCCATCCTCCCTCAAGAATACCTGCAGCTTGACATCCGTCGTCGTCTTGACCTGATGGTACGCCTGAGGGAGTTGGGCCTTTAATGCCTGCGGCATTGACCATGCTGGCTCAAAGACCCTTGCGGGCCTGTTGAGCATTGTGGGAGTGTTGTGTCAACAAGCCTTGGCTGCTAGCCCCCGCACCACTTGGGAGACTTGAGGCAACCACTTGGGAGACTTGAGGCAAGCAGAGCCTACTGGTATAAGTCGAGGATTTTACGCCGTAAACTAGGCCGCACTCCGCCAAAAAGACGCGTGCCGGAGGTCCGCGGAGCACATTTTGAAGATTTTACGCCGTAAAAGTGCGCAGACAAATTTCTGCCATACGGTGCCATACGCGCCATACGCGCCGCCGCGTCCCTCTTTCTCGGCCGGTAGTGCGCGTGCTCCAGCCAGAGGCGCGCGCGCGCACCACGCATAATTTAACCGCTGCATCTGTAGTCTGTGCGCAGCGCTGGCGCGTTCTCGGCCGGTAGCGCGCGCGCACACAGGCGCGACTGTGAGATCAGATTTGATCGCACACCCAACCACGCCTGCACGTGACTGTGAGATCAGATTTGATCGCACACCCCAGCTTGCCATACGCACGCGTGCGCACCACGCGTAATTCATCCGCTGCATCCGTAGTCTGCGCGCAGTGCGCGCCAGGCGTGCACAGGGTTCGACTGCAAGATCAAATTCGATCGCACACCCAACCACGCCCGCACGTGACTGTGAGATCAGATTTGATCGCACGCCCAACCACGCCTGCACGTGACTTTGAGATCAGATTTGATCGCACACCCCAGCCTGCCATACGCGCGCGTGCTATAGCCAGACAGAGGCGCGCGCGCACCAGGCGTAATTTATCCGCTGCATCTGTAGTCTGCGCGCAGCGCGCGCCTGCGCGCACGGGTTTTGGCCGCAAGATCAAATTTGATCGCACACCCAAGCATGCACAGCCGCTGATTGTCCCTGGCACCGACACTTTGACATGCTGGTGTACGGCAAGCAGGCTACCAAATGAGAGGCCAATCACACCATAAGGAAGCTGTGATAGGGGCATTTTGTGTGGTGCAATTTGCTTCTCCAGATGGTGCCTCAGTGAGCAGAGAACACAGGCACAATCCAAGAGTGATGCGCGTCAACTTCTTGCCAAAGAGGTGCGCTGGCACCGACACTTTGAGGGCCCACTCTGGAGGCTCTTGCTCACCAATTGGCTTGTTCAGACACTCACTGGGTAGGTTTGATAGGGGCATTTGCTGTAGTCAAGACAGTTGTGCTAGAACAAGGGCCTGCAAGCGGTGACAAGCACTCAAAGACTGGCATGTGCAAGGACAACAAGCGCGTCTGTCTTGTTGTGCTGGTGTGGCTGCACCACTATACGCGCGCTCATTGTGTCAGCAATGACGTGTACCGCTCACAGCCCCTCATTGTCCCTGGCACCGACAATTTGACCTGCTGGTGTACGGTGAGCATGCTGCCAAATGAGCTACAAATGGCACCATCAGGAAGCTGTGATAGGGGCATTTGATGTAGTCAAATTAGATCTGCCAGAACAAGTACCTGCAAAGGGTGACAAGACCTCCAAGACGGGCCTGTGCAAGGACAATGAGCGTGCTGCTGCTGGTACGCAGGCATGGCTGCACCACTATATGCATCAAGTCTTCTTGTCTTTCACTACAGACAAGGCTTGTAGCACGTAGCAGATGATCTTCTTTGTGGAAGTGACACTTGGTTTACGAAGCACAACAGCTACACTTGACTACCTGTGCGTCAACAAGGCAAGTACTGCTCATGATGGGTTAACAACTTGCTCTGTAGCACACTCATAAGCTATAAAGATGGGGCTCTGGATGCTCTCAAGTCCATCTTCCCTCGTCAATCACTCACTCAAACACTCACTACTCAGCGCACAACACCATCTCTCCTGCCTACCCCCATCTTTTCCTTGACAAACTTCAACATGTCTACCATTGCAATTGCAACCACCATGCAGCATGCTCAAGCGCTTGCTCTCCAATACCCATATCTCCCCCAATGACAGATCATTGTTTGCCTGCACTGCGCAAGCTGCGTGCATCCAGGTAAAGATGCCATCACTCGACACCTGTACAAGCACAGCATGTCTGGGCCAGAATTGAAAGTGCTTGTCAACCTGCTGGCTGATTACAAGGTGCTTGGCCCTCAAGCGCCACGCACAGAGTGGCCCACAGCCCTCATCAAGGAGCTAGCTGTCCATGAGGGCTACCAGTGCACTTTTGGATGCACAGATGCCTTTAGGACACTCGACAAGGTCAAGCAGCACATAGCTCATGTGCACACATCAGAGTCAGCCAGATCAGCTGACGCACCGCTTTGGAGACAGTGCACAGCGCAGACCTTTTATTCTGACAATCAAGCAGTGCGCTACTTTGCTGTAGCACTGCCTCCCACGCCTGGTCCAACTCAGTCACAGTCACAAGATGTCCCTCTGGCTGAGGAGGCCTTCTTTGCTGCGCTCCAAGCAGACAAGCAGCAGGCTGAACGTGATGCTCAGGAGCATGCCCAGCGCACCCATGGCTTTGGTGCGCATCACTCTGGTGCGGTGCCATGGCTACAGAACACTGGCATCAAGAAGCATGTGCATGGACTAAACAAGCAGGAAATCCAGGCTTCCTTTGCGCTTCCCACAAGCAAGGCAGAAGCGCAGCTGGAGCGCATCCTGGCTGCCCTGGAGTGGGTGCTGCGTGACACGCACACACAGTGCATCAGCGAGTGGTCTTCCAAACTGACTTGGCAGCGCAAGCTGGCTCTCAGCCACTTTCGCACGGTGGAATTTGCTGGCACTGTCCACCGTGCTTGGGATCCTGTCAAGATGCCTGACACGCTCACAGACTACATCCAACACTGGAAGCAGCTCATTACGTACTACTTCCGCATTGCGCATGAGGAGAAGGCGCACTTCAGCACTGGCAGTGGGGATCACACCACGCCAGATGAGCTGGTTCAGCCCACTGAGGAGCAGCGCTTTGCATGGGATCTTGTCTTGGAAGAGAGCAAGAACATGCCCATTGCGTCTTTTCTCACAGATGCAGTGCACTCTTTCTGCATGACGCTCATCCAGCATCACACTGGCACATGCCCCTTTGCCTCTCCACTTCTCAGCTTTGTGGCCATGCACGCCATTGAAGTCAAGACTGGGGCGTGGAAGTCAGCAGGTGTCTTCAGCAGCTTTCTCTCTGGGCTGATCTGGGTGGCGCAGCTCATGATATTCCGGGAAGCAATCTCTGGGGATGCAGAAGACGAGAAGGTCCTGGAGACCATCAAAGCCAACATATGGGCATACATGCAGCCAGACAAGGAGACAGTGTTTGGCGAGGTGCTTCACTGGCGCTCACTCTGCTTTGAGGTTGCGCGGCATGAGATTGGACCGCAGCAAGCCTACTGGGATGAAGACAAGCAGGGCGTCACATACAAGAGCATCCACCTCAAGCTCACAGACGTGGAGCTCATCTTTCAGCATCAGATGGGCCGAGCAAGGCAGCTACTTTCTGCTGATCTTCTGTTTGGCAGCAATGGTCCTGCGCAGGTCCAGGCATCTATGCTAAAGGACAGCCTAGACCGGCGTGATGTTGGCTGGTTCTTTGCCAAGCATGAGGAGAATGCAACACTTCTGGGTGATGCGCACGTAACACTGGTGCAGGCCATGAAGCGCACCCCGGCACTGCAGGCAGTGTATCTGGACAAGTCTGCTGCGCCATACAAGTGGAGCGCAAATGGCGTGCAGCTCTACCAAGAGCATGCTCACCGCTTTCTCAGCTCATTGGCGGTGCTCATCCACATGACTTCTGGTCAGCCGCTGCGTGAACCAGAGCTGTTCTCTATTCAGTGGCGCAACACGCAGCAGAAGCGCAACATTGGCATCAAGGATGGATGTGTGATGATCCATACGTGGTACCACAAGGGCCAGCAGCAGACGGGCACACATAAGCACAATGTGCGCTTCTTGCATGCGGAGGTTGGCAATCTGCTGGTCAACTACTTGGTCTACGTGGTGCCCTTCCTGGAGACTCTGTTGTGCGCCACACAGCCCAAGGCGCTTGTGTCCGAGTATCTCTGGGTCAAGGAGAATGCCATCTGGAAGGAGAACAGTCTATCTCAGGCCATGGTGGCAGC